CAGAGGAGGATGGGTACATACACAGAGACCCTGAGCTTCATTGTAGCCCTGTCATGGTTCCGACAGATGAAATTCTTCAAAAGAACTTCAAGGCATTGTTTACCTTAAAGAATCTTTTATTCGAGAAACAAAGTATCGGCACTACGTAGTCTAAACAAAAACTAAATTCCCCTCCCCTGGATACAAAGTAACAAAGCACAATTCCCTCCTCCAATAAACAGTCATAAATCACATTCCCCAATTAGCTTGAAGCGCGGACGTTCTCCCCAGCTCTCCAAAACTCTATCAACTCTGGGCCCAGTGACCTTGGGTTCCCAAGGCTGAGTTAATATTATTATGACTAGCTGGACTCTCATCCACATTCCCCCTCCCAGCATCAACTAACTCTAAAAGCAATAGAGAAAAATGGCTGCATTTCCATCTGTTGTCAAAGCAAGAACATCCGATGTTAGCAGAATTGACATAGCCCCTGGAATGGAAAGGCCACTTGTGTTAGGACTGTCTTGGCTCCAGAAATTGAACCTCTTTGTGAACTGGAGGAGGGGGCTGCTAAAAATCAGACTTGCTGATTATGAACGGGGAGAGGAAAAGGGCTGTCAAAAACCTGCTACAAAGTTGCAGCAGGCGAAACAGAAAAGGGAGTAGCTGCCAAAGATTGGCTCCAGTGTAACCCTCGGATCCCCAAGGAGTGCTGATACTTATGGCATGGCTTCACTGAGAAGGGGTCAGATGCACTCCCACCCCACTAGCCAACTGACTGTGTCACAGAAATCCTATTGGGGCCAAACTACCCAAACCTAAACTGTATTCCATGGCCCCTAAGGAATTGAAAGAATTGCGGACTTTTATAAACAAAAACCTGAACCATGGATTGATCCTCACTCAATAGTGCACCTCCTGCAACTTGGTGAAGACCTTCCCCTTGGCCAAATAACAAGTCAAATATGTTCTTCATGAGTGCAGCCTAGAGCTATGGTGGTGCAGTGGTACTGCAGGCTACTTCTGCTGCCTGCTGGCTGCCTGCAGTTCAGCAGTTCGATTCTCACCAGTTCAAGGTTGACTCAGCCTTTCATCCTTCTGAGGTCGGTAAAATGAGGACCCAGATTGTTGGAGGCAATATGCTGACTCTGTAAATTCCTTAGAGAGGGCAAGCGGTATATACAGTAAGTCTAAGTGCTATTGCTATGATGGAGAGTGGGTAAACATTTTCTATACACAGAGTATTAAGCCCATAATAGTCCATGCACAGATTAAGGAACCCAACCTTCTTTTCCCTAATCAGTACTGGGGCAACCACCCTTGGTCTGGTGGGTTGGATGAACCCATGCTTCAGGTTTTTGTCTATGAAAGTCCACAATTCCTCACTGAAGACATCCCATAAGTCCAGGTACTCTTTGGGGATCCGAGGGTCACCTTGGGGCCACTCTTTGGCAGTTGCTCCCATTTCCCTTTTTGGTTTCACTTGCTGCTACTTAGGGCTAGGCTTTTGACAGCCCTTCTCCTCACCCCCTTCATCCCTTCCGCTGAGTCTTTAGCAGCCCAGTTGACATAGGAGTTCTATTTCAGAAGCTAAGACAATCCTAACATAAGGGGCCTCTCCATGCCAGCGGCCATGATAAACCCAGGGTCTCTCTGTGTGTGCCCCTCCTCATTTCTATTGGCTAGGTGATAAATGTTACTGATATTCCCCCTGCCACTGAGCTGCCCAGCTGGCAAAAAGCTATGGGCACTTTAAGTTGTTTGAGTCTCATGCCCAATTTCTCGACCAGGGCAGAGTTGACCAGGCATCTGGTGCACCTTGAGTCCAAGAGAGCTACTAGACTCCCTTTGCACCTCGAAGATCAAATCACTAGTACTACGGGGATGGTTACTGGGCTGACCGGGCGACTTACCAAGGGATCATCATTGTAGTTTGATTAATTTTCCATTGGGCTGTCCACCGGGTAGTCGGAGTTCTCCCACTATCTTTGGGGGATGAGGTGAACTCTATGACTTCTACACCCTTTGGGCGGTCTCATGGATTTGTGGAGGGTGGTTTTGCCAATTTTTTGGCAGGATCCTTTCTGAGCATGCAGCTCAACAATCAGCAGCTTGGTGCCCCTCCTTCCCACCCCTAAAACAGCCAGTAGATCATTGGTGTGAGGTCTGCTTGTATTGCGGCGGTTTCAGAGCCTCTTTCTTTTCAGGGAGGGATCTTCTCCACACAATGGCTCTGTCAATATTTGGATTCAGCCAGGTCAATTTCCATTTCCTCTGCTAGCTAGGACCTAAAATCAATGGAGGGTGAGGTGGGCTCCTCTGGAAATACAGGTGCTGTAGACCTTGTTGCTTAATCCATCTCGGAAGCATCTGATCAAGATGTCTTCTGGCCAGTCAGTTAGTTGGCAGGCCATGCCGCAAAACTCCTGGGTATACTCAGCCATTCCCCTGCACCCTTGGCTGATGGTCTTTATGTAGTCTCTGGCTTTGCAATAGGCTAAGGAGTCTTTGAAGCTCTTCTGAAGTGCAGCCATGAAATGATTGAAGTTTCTCGACTCTGGGGTGTCATTGTGGAAGGTGACCATCGATTCAGGAGTCTAGGACCTTTAGGCTCCCACCATTGGCCACACCCACTTCACTTCCAGCCATCTCCCTCAGCTCATTCATAGCCAGGTTTCCTCCTCTGCTGGCCCTCCGCTGGCAATTCTCCCTGGCCAATGAGCCCCTGGCCCCCTACCCCTCACCCTTCGGCCTGGCCTATTCACTCAGACACACTTTGTCCTAGGTGTTTCACTCCACAGGACAAGAAGCCCCATCCAATCAGGGGGCAATGACGACACTGGAAAGGGCGACCGAGGGTGCCATGAGGGGGATGCTGGTGACAGGTTATAGGAGAGGGCAAGACCTGGGGGAGCATGACAGGCAGATGCTGATTGCATGCAGTTTCCAGCAGTGCACTCCAGGCACCACTAGAAGCCACACACACTGTTTCCCTGCTGCCGCCCGCCCTGCCAGAAGCTGCACGCAAGCAGTATTTGCCTGCCCCCCTCTGCAGATCTTGCTCTCTCCTATAAGCTGTCACAAATGCATCCCACTCATAGCCCCCATGGTCGCTCTTCTCAGCACAATCGTTGCTGCCTTCCACCACTGGCTGGCGGCTGAAGCGAAACACCTGGGACAAAGGGTGTCTGGGTGAATGGGCCAGGCCAAAGGGTGGAGGACCCAGGGGCCCAGGGAGAATCACTGGGGGAGGGCCAGTAGAGGAGGAAAGCTGGCTGTAAATGGGCTGAGGCGGGGGATTGAAGGTGAAGTGGATGCGGCCAATGTTGAGAACCTAAAGGTCCCATTCTGCCTCCAATGCCATGGTCATGGAACACACCTTACCCCAGGGCTGTCAAACTTGCAACATCATGTGACTTTTTTTCCATTGCCGGCAATAGGGTAGGCATGATTTCAGATGACGCATCTGGCCTGTGGGTCGGCAGTTTGATACCCCTGCCTTAGCCCCTTCAGTGCCTATTTCTGGATCATATTCTTGCATGTATGTCCAGACCTGCGCCAGGAAGAACCCTAACTGCTTGGGGTCTCCAATGAACTTTACTCCCAGAGCTGGTGTCTTGCATCCTCTCCACCTTGCTGGCACTACTCCTGCATCCTGTGCAGGTTGAGCTGCAGAGCCAGGTGCTGGGGCAGTTGCTGCTACTGGGAAGCTTGCTGCTGCTGGCATCACAGTGGCAGAGATAATTGCCCCATTGCTTGCCGTGGCTGGTCAGTGGGATGTGCTGTCCAAGCTAGGGCTTCCCATGCTTTAAAGTTACCAAAAGTCCCCCTCAGGAACTTTCTGACATGCTCCAGCTCAAGTCCTCTCGCTCCAGCTCACCTGTGTTTGATTCTTCCTTCAGTTCTTCCAGCTCCACTTGCGTCACTCACCGGCAGTTACCATGGCCCCCATGAGCAAATGTCACTCCCATGGGTTTGTCTTCCCATTCTTCCTTTTTTACGACCCTGAGGGACCATTTGGGTCCCAGCCACTTGGATAGATCCAGCTCTCCAGGAGGGGGTTTCAAGGATGTCTCTCCCCAGGCTTTGATCTCTTCTTGGTTGCTCCCTTGAGCCGACATCATTTGCATGGTCCCCATGATAGAGGCGTTTTCCTCTCTGGGTTGATCACAACTTCAGAGCTAGCCTGTCAGACCTGCCCCAATCTGATCCCTTAGGAAAGAAAGACCCTCAACTTCATTTGGTTAAAGTAAAAGGGTCTTTTACTTTAGGTGTTGTGGTTCCGACTAATGAAACATTCCAAAGAACTTCCAGGCATTTATTTTCCCAAAAGTCTTTTATTGTTACAAAATGTCGGCACAGGCAGAACGGAGGGATGCTAGGATCTATGTTCTCTTCCTCTGAGCAGTTAAATTATCAGCATGTTCCCTCCCTAAATTAGCCGTCATATCTCACATTATCCAATTAGTGTGAAGGTCAAATGTTTTCTTCCTCTTTCTTTCCCGGGCTTTACTCCCAACCCCCCCATCTGCTCTGTATTAACCCCATAATTACCAGATAATTCTACATATTGTCAAAAGCAAGAATATACAATATTTGCAGCGTTGACATCAGGTGTTAGCTGTAGTAAATTCAGGCTAGCTCTGAATTTTCCCGTGCTCACAAGATACAGAAAGGTTCACCTGCAACCCATCCCTAACTCTGTGACCAGTGTTTCCAGCGAAAATATTTTGAGAATGCTGAGTTGTTTGGGGTAATCCACATATTTTCTCAGGGTGTCTGGCCTTGGGATGCTGGTACAAACTGGATCCAGACTGCTCTGGTCTTTATTACCTGTCATTCCCCCCCTTCCTATTTCCCATCATGTACACGCATAGCTTTATTGCCCTTCCATCCTCCCACCCCTTCAGCCTTTGATGGCAGGATGCCTGTGAGGTGCCAAATCTTACCTAATCCACACTCATACTTTGCCGGGCCTCTCAGCCATCAGGGTGAAGACAGATAGAAGAAAATGGAATTACCTCAGAGGGATCATGAACCCACTGGCCATCTACAAAGAACTTGTACTGGTGTTCGCCTTCAGGAAGATCCAGAATAGCAACGAAGTCATTATGGCTGAAAGGAGAGTGATCCACAGTGAGAAAACACAGCACATATATACCTGCAAGAAAGTGGCCTATCTTAACTCTTTTGCCTGGTTTGGATAAATTCAATGAGACAGGCTCAGCCATAGACAAACTCAGCCAAAAGAAAAGATAAAGATTGGTTTAAGCAGCTTCAACTGTTTCAAAAGGAATATGCACAGCTACTTCATGAAAGTTTCCATGAATGAACTTAAAGGAAATCTACCAAACTGGTGAAAATGGAAATATTCGCTTTCTGGACTATGAGGACAATTATGCAGTGGACCACTCAGCCCTCCTGAAGTTATAGGTGCTTTCAAGAAAAGACTGGGTGGCCTTTTCTCCAAGATAGAATGAGGATTCTTGCAGAAGGAAGGCAGTTGGATTATTTATTTATTTATTTATTTTTAAAATTTATAAACTGCCCCACTCCCGCAGGACTCCAGGTGGCTAACAATAAAAACACCATATAACATGACAAAACAAACAATACAATAACAGTCATCCAGGGGTCAGATTTTATAAACCCCAGGCCTGCTGGAAAAGCCAGGTCTTAAGCAGCTTGCGGAAAACCAACAGGGTGGGAGCGGTCCTAATCTCCGGGGGGAGCTGGTTCCAAGACGTGGGCGCCATCACAGAGAAAGCCCTCCCCCGCGGCCCCACCAAATGGCACTGCTTGGCCGACGGGACCTGAAGGAGGCCCAGCCTGTGGGATCTAACCGGATGAAGGGAACTATGAGGTAGTAGGCGGTCTCGCAAATAGCCTAGCCCTGAGCCATATAGGGCTTTAAAGGTAATAACCATTGGACCCGGAGACCAATAGGCAACCAGTGCAGCTCACGGAGGATAGGTGTAACGTGGGTGTACCGAGGAGCACCCACTATCACTCGCGCGGCTGCATTCTGGACCAACTGTAGTCTCCGAATACTTTTCAAGGGTAGCCCCATGTAGAGCACGTTGCAGTAGTCCAGACGTGAGGTGACAAGGGCATGAGTGACTGTAAGGAGAGCCTCCCAGTCCAGGTAGGGTTGCAACTGGTGCAACAGACGAACTTGTGCAAAGGTCCTCCCAGCCACAGCCGTCAAATGATGTTCCAAATTCAGCTGTGGATCAAGGAGGACACCCAAGTTGCGAACCCGCTCCGAAGGGGGTATGTTTTCCCCTGCTAGAGTCAACACTGGACAGTTAACATGATCCTTGGGAGGCAACATCCAAAGCCACTCGGTCTTGTCAGGATTGAGCCTAAGTCTGTTAACCCCCATCCAGACCCTCACGGCTTCAAGGCAACGGCCCATCATATCAGCCACTTCACTGAGAGAGCTCGGGGAGGAGATATATAGCTGGGTATCATCAGCATACTGATGAAACCTCACCCCGTGCTGTCTGATGATCTTACCCAGCAGCTTCATGTAAATGTTAAATAGGAGGGGGGAGAGGACCGACCCCTGCGGCACGCCGCATTCAAGGGGCCTCGGGGTTGACCTCTGCCCCCCACCAATACCGATTCCAACCGGCCAGAGAGGTAGGAGAACCACCGTAAAACGGTGCCTCCCACTCCCACCCCTTTAAGTTGTCGCAAAAGGATACCATGATCGATGGTATCAAAAGCCGCTCAGAAGTCAAGTAGCACCAAGACAGAGGAATAACCCCTGTCTCGGGCCCGCCAGAGATCATCCATCAGCGCGACCAAAGCAGTTTCTGTGCTGAAGCCGGGCCTGAAGCCAGATTGAAAAGGGTCTAGGTAATCCGCTTCATCCAGAGACCGTCGGAACTGGAGCATCACCACTCTCTCTACAACCTTCCCCAAAAAGGGGAGATTGGAGACTGGACAGAAGTTATTTAAGTCAGCCAGGTCCAGGGTAGGCTTCTTGAGAAGGGGCCTCACAACCGCTTCCTTCAAGGATTGCGGGAAAGACCCCTTCCTCAACGAAGCGTTGATCAACACCTGGAGCCAGCCTCGTGTCACCTCCTTGGCGGCCGAGACCAACCAGGAAGGACACGGGTCCAATAAACAAGTGGAGGCACTCATCGCTCCCACCGCTCTGTCAACATCCTCAGTGGTCACAGACTCAAATTCATCCCATAAAACTGGGCTAAGACCTGCCCCGGTCATCTCAGAAGGCCCTGCCCAATCGGAGTCTAGGTCTGTCCGAATCCGAGCGATTTTGTCTGATAGGAACTGCACAAATTCTTCCGCCCTACCCTGTAAGAGCTCCCCGGCTTCCTGAACGTTAAGTAGGGAACAGGTCACCCTAAACAGGGCGGCGGGGCGAGATTCTGCAGACGCAATAAGTGCGGAAAAATGCGAACATTTTGCCGCTCGTATCGCCACTAAATAAGTCCTAATACAGGCTCTTAAAATTGTCCGGTCGGATTCGGAGTTACTAGCCCTCCAGCGTCGCTCTAGACGTCTCTTCTGACGCTTCATCTCCTGTAGCTCCTCGGTAAACCAAGGTGCCCTCCGGGATCCACAATCACGGAGAGGTCGCAAAGGCGCGATCCGGTCTAACACCCCTAATGCCGCCTTATTCCCAGCAGCGACCAAGGACTCAGCCGGTTCGTGGAGGAGGGAATCAGGAAAACCCCCAAGCGCTATTTGGAACCCCTCCGGGTCCATTAAACGCCTGGGGCGGAACCACCTAATCAGTTCCGCCTCCCTGTGGTGGGGGATTAGATGACCTCCAAGATTCCCTCCAATCCTATGGAGCTGATTTAAACAGAGTTTCTCAAGAAATAAATTGTAAACAGAGAAAGTAACCAAATAATCCCTTTAGACTGAGATTTGAGTAGGTCAAGTGAAACTGGGCCATTCTGGGTAAGGATTGGAAGAGAAATGTAAATGAGACTGGGGATGCTCTAACCTGTTAACCAACAACCAATCTGCATTGACCCAGAAATCTCCCAGATGCCCAACTGCAAGGAGTTTGTCTTAACCATCTGAACTCACCTTCAACCAGAAGAAACTATGTCTAGACAGTCCTAATCAAGATGGGAGGACTAACATATCCATCACACAACTTTCTGCCTCATTTACAACCACTTCCCATACTTGTACTTCTTTCCCTACCAATATCAAACAGAGAGCTGGATAGATTTGGGAACAGGAGAACAGAACAGATTTTCAAAAGACCAGCATTCATCCTTAATTGCTAAATCTTTACACTTCCGACTTGTTCTTATCAACTAGACTCATACTCTATCAACATTTTAAAAACGGGATTCTTCAGGGCAATATTGCAACACACATGGCAATATAAGTTATGGCACTTCAAAAGAAATACTAGGCCAAAGATGATGTTCATCAATTTCTCTATTTATAAGTCATATTTTTTATTTCTTTGTAAAGCAGCATCTTTTTAAAAAGAAAAGGATTCACATAAGATTCACCACTGTAAGTTTCAAATGTTATTGCTTAATAAAAATGACAACACTGTAGAAAATAATTTGAAATGGTATCCATGTTTTTCATGATTGTGTCAACTTCAAACTGAAGCATACAAGAATGGTACCAGTGCAATAAGGTAAAAAGTACTGACTTGGATATTGAAATATTCAGAGAAATATTTCATTTGCCACATTTCAAAATTGTTCATGGATATTATTCAAGCTAGTTAATGAAGACAATTTCTCCCTAATTTAGTGAAGCTTGAAACAGCAGTCTAATCACTGCAATATCTATCACTGTTATGCTGCATTCTCTAATTCTGAATCTAGAATGCTGTCAAAGTGTCAGTACATACAGAGGCATTCCATTTTTTAGAAAGAATCTGAATATTCCTTTGCTTGTAGAATCACTATGTATCAACTATATCTTTGTATCATACAGTTCTTCTGTGTGAGAACACAGGGCTGTTTCCCTGCAGAATACTGGAAACATTCCTATTTTCTGGCTGTAAGGATTTGCTGCTGGGGACACTAACAAGATGTTTGAAAAGGGGAGAGAATGAAAAAAACAAAATCTGACAAAACATTTAACACTTTTCACATAGCATTAGTTTTAAAGCCAGAAAGTTAATTTGGAGCTTACAAGTTCTCTTATCTATGTAGAGCTGTATTGTAAGCAGCCTAGAGTCACCTTATAGGGAAAATGGGTGGCATAAAAGTTTAATAAATAAAACGAAATAAAATAAAATAGACAAGTCAGAGTGAAAGATACTGAGTTCCTTTGTGGTGGATAACAGAAGTTGTATTTGACTTCATGGAACCTAATATTGTCCTGTAAGCCAATAGAGAACTATAGCTCTATTTTCCCCTTATTCTCAACAAAAATACCCTTATCCTGACCTGATGTTAAGATGAAATAGATTAAAATCTCATTCAGCATTTTTTTAGAAAACAGATTGATACATAATTAATGTTCATAATTTGCTGCTTTATAAGCTAGCCTAGTCTAGTTTCTGTGAGATTCTTGGAGCCCACAATGAGTAACAGTATGGAAGATGATTCAGGCATATTTTTTTTCATATAGACATGTTTTTCATTCAGATCCAGAATGCATGGATCTGCTCCATTAAAAAGATGTTCTTTTATATTTAGGAATATAAAAGGAATCCTCCATTTCTGATACCTGATTCATTTCAGAATTTCCACATGAAAACAGTGCATTTTAGCCTTAGTTGGGCTTAAAATATTTAACCAATGCTTCTTGCCCTGTGTAGAATAAGGATCAAACAAGGCCCCCTCTCCATAAAAAATGTTGAGCAGAGTTTTTTTTATATAAAAATCACACACTACCCTGTTTCACCTCTTAATGAGAGGAATCTTAGCACTCCAATTGTTGAAAGAGCCTGAAATGAAAACTTCTTTGCCTCCATCTGTCCAGCGGATAACTGTGGGACGAGCCTGCTGGGATGGTTTAACTGACTCATCCAAGTCATGGTGCCATGATACAAACTCTTTTTCTCCAGGAAGCTGTAGAAAGAGGGCAAGAGTTATATCTTGTCTAAGTCTTCCTGAAAACTGGAATCCTATTTCCTAGCTTTAGGAATAATTAAGTGATGAGTGAGCACTTTTCCAAGTTATTTTAAGTATTATAAAGAAGAGAAATCTAGAGAATTGCCTAAGGGTCATAAAATGGCCAATTATGTCATAAATCATTATTATAATCAAAACCATAACTGTGTATATCAGAACAAGTGCTAACGTTTGAAAATAATAAAAAACATAATCTAAATACTGTACCTTAGATTCATGGGTGCTGAAGATGTTGGGGTCATCAGTGCTGCCAACCATGATCTTGTGTGAATGATCTTTGGCATGGTGGATGGCTCCCTCTGAGCGGTGAATCTTGGAACTGTGGCGTTCCCCTGATATCCTTTCACTTGTAGTGTTCCCCATGGCTCCACTGCAAGAAGGCAGCAAAAGAAAAGAATTAGGGCCATTTACAATTGTCACAGACATAATGTAGGCTTGTATTTCCAAAGCCAGAGAAGAGTACTGCATTTTCTTACAGATGGTGGGTAGACAATATGTTCCTTCAGCCATGGGAAGGAATGCAAAAATAAAAAAAATAAAAAAAAATGCAGCAATCAACAGACTTGCAAAATCAGTAACAGAATTGCAAAATTCATGACAATAATAAAGTTATTGAGCAGGAAGGAGACTATTAAGCAGCAAATTTAATCCCTATTCACTCCAGGAATCCAAATTAAAATATTCCAGAGAGATGTCTGGACTCTCCTTTAAGACACTATACTGTATAAAGAGAAGTCCACTATCTCCCAAGATAACTGGTTCTATTGCCAAACTGGTGTTACCATTTTGAAATTTTTTCTAACGTTGGGTTGGAATCCCATTCTTCTAATTCATTCAGGTTATTTGAAGAATCCTATCATATTCATCATCACCCATCTCTTCTCAAAACTGAACATATCTAGTTTCTTCCTTCTCTCTTCATACATTTCTTGATCACATGGGTTGCCCTGTCATTCAACCTGTTCCATTATCTCTGAATCCTTAAAGGGTGTTGCTCAAACCCATGCCAGCATTTCACCAATCAGTTAACTCAGACTATGCTCCTTGAACCAAATCTGAGATTTACTTATGTAACCAGACATTCAATTCCACTATTCTTAGAACAGAATGGAAAGGAATTATAAGGCTGGAAGAGACTTTGGAGGTCTTCCAGTCCAATCTCCTGCCAAAGGCAGGAGACCATATACCATCCCAGACAAATGGACAATTGTTTTCTCAAAAACCTCCAGCAATGGGGCACCCACAACTCTGGGAGGCAAGCTGTTCCATTGATTAATTGTTGTTACTGTCAGGAAATTTCTTCTTAGTTACAAGTTAGATCTCTCTTTAATAAACTTCCACCCATTGCTTCTTATCCTACCGCCCCAGGTTCTTTGGAGAATAGGTCCACCTCCTTTTGTGTGATAGCACAGGTGCTATCATGTAATCTCTAATCATCCTCTTCATTAGGCTAGACATAGCTAGTTTCCTGAACTATTCATTTAGCCTCTAGACTCCTTATCATCTTTGTTGGTCTTTGCTGCACTTTCTAGGATCTCGACTTTTTTTTTTTTTTTTGGATTGGATACAGTATCCAGATGTGGCTTCACTAGTGCAGTGTAAAGAGGTATTATCACTTCTCATGATCTTGAGGCTATCCCTCAATTGATGGAGCCTAGAACATTTTTGGCAGCTGCAGCACACTGCTGGCTTATACTACTAGGACATCCCAATTCCTCTCAGTTATTACGGTTGAGCCAGGTACTGACTATTCTATACCTTTGCATTTGTTTTTTTCTGCCTAAGTACAGGACCTTTTCTCATCACCAAGCTGCATCTTGTTAGCTAGGCCCAATGTTCAAGTCTGTCAAGATCATTCTGATTCTTGAGTCTATCTTCCAAAGTGGTAGCAATTCCTCCCAGCTTTCTGTCATCTGCTAATTTGGTGAGTACCTCCTTTATCCACTCATCTAGATAATTTATGAAGATATTGAAGAGTACTGGGCCCAAGACAGAATCTTGAAGTGCCCTGCACGTTCCCGCCATGTAGATGTAGTTCCATTGAAGACCACGCACTGAGTGCAATTGGTCAACCAATTGTGAATCCATCTGGTGGTGGTACTGTCTATCCCATACTGTTCTATCTTATCTAGAAATAGGCTGTGGTCTACTTTGTTGAATGCTTTAATTAAGTTTAAGTAAAATACTGAATGTCAACAGATTTCCTTGATCCATTAATTTAGTCACTTTCTCAAAGAAGGCAATAAAGTTTGTTTGGCACAATTTGTTTTTAACAAAGCCATGCTGGCTTCTATTAATTACCTTGTTCATTTCTAGCTACTCACAAATCCACTGCTTATTTTTATCTAGGATTTTCCCAGGTATTGATGTCAAGCTGATTAATCTGTAGTTTCCTGGTTGCACTTTTCCCCCCTTTTTTGAAAACTGGAACATCACCTCTTTTTCAATCCTCTGGCAGTTCACCTGTGCTCCAGGAGCTCCGAAAGGTTTTGTTCAGTAGTTCCAAGATCCCATCTGCCAGCTTCTTCAGAACCTTCTATTTGTATTTTATTTCTATTCCTAGGGATGTCTTAGTGCAGGGCTTTTTAACTGGTGGCACCTGGCAGGTGGTACGCGACCATCCTAGACAAAATGTAGCAGGGGAGGGGAATGAGCAGGGGAGGGGAGTGAGCTGAAGTGGTGGCAGCACCGCAGAAGCCTGACGGAGAGACAGCTGGAGCTGCAGGGGGAAAAAGACAACAGGGAAAGAGAAGGGGATAGAGAAGAAGCTGTGGAAGGAAAGCCCAGCAGGCAGGGAAGAAAAAGAGAGAGGGAAGAAGAACTGTGTCAAGACAGCCCAGCAGGCAGGGGAAGAAAATACAGGGAAGAAGAAGCTGTGGAAGGAGAGCCCAGCAGGAAGAGGTTCAGCAAAGGAACCGCCACTGAAGAAATTAAAACCAGTACTTTTTCCCTTTTTTTAAACGGCTTGTAACATATTAGATTATAGAATAAAATACAAAAATACAAAAGCAAATAGTAGAACACAATGGAGAGGAAGAAGGGAAAAAAAGAGAGGGGGAGAAGAGAAAAAGAAAAGGCATTGACTTCCGACTTCCTCTGTTGCAGTAGAATGAAGCATTAACATTGAACTGCAGTCTTATACTTTTCCATAATAGTATAAGCTAGCCATTTCTATAACAACAAATAAATCTAATCAGTAAAATAAAAAAAAAATTAGTCAAGTTTTTGACACTTTGCTAAGCACTGGTAGTACTCAAATATTATGTCCTAAAAGTGATAGTATCTGTGAAAAGATTGAAAAGCCCTGTCTTAGTGCATTTTGTGAGAAAACAGATAAGGGACCAGGTTTTGCAGCAGCATTTTAATATAAGATTGAAAATTGATAATATTGATTTAATTATTTGGAAAGAGATTCCCATCAGAACTTTGTGTAAGACAAAAAAATACTCCTATTTGGTTGAAAAATGTAAACAGAAAAAATATGTCAATGTGATAAATTGGAAGAAACTATTTTACTTTTAAACAGCAAAAATTCAGATTGAATTCTGTTCAGGTGAAAATTCGTTACAAAAACAAAAGAGAAATGGAGGAAATGGAGCTCTCAGAAGGAACTTCACAACACATTAACAGGAATTAGAAAAATATAATGAATTAGGTGCTATAGGTTTCAGTTTTTCTAATTTTTTGAAGTGGTTATAGATTACAAATATTTAACATGGAATATAACTGGAGCAATGCTCCTCAAAAGGAGAAAAATATTTTTTCAAAAAGTTAAAGCAAGAAATTATTTGCCTACAAGACTCTCGTATTAGAAAAAAAGGTGTATATTTGACCTATACTTGGGAGAATAATTTATTTCAGCAAATATTAAAAAGAGAAATGAAGTTGATTTGAATATTAATCCTCAACTAAATCCAAAACTTGCACTAACTGAGGAACATGGCAGATTTATTTGGGGAGAATTTAATTTACATGGAATTAAAACTATAGCGTTGTTTATGCTCCAAATAAGGATAAATGTCATTCTATAAACAATTTATGAAAACTGGTTTTTGTTGGGAGATTGGAATAATGTGGTTTACCCCCAATTGGACAAGGTTTCTGGGTAAAATATTGAAGAAGGTAATTCAAAGGAGTATTTTTCAGAAAGATAAACTCACCAAGAGTATTTGATCTGGCCTGAAAAGTTTCAGATAACCACTTAGAGGGCAAAAAAGAGACATGGGAAAAAACTTACGGTAATTCTTTCCTGTCATCTAATGATCAGGTTTTCATAGCCCAGATCTGGTAGATCTGCTGACAGCCGTAATGTGTTGAAAGATATCTTCTTGTTAAATCCAGCCCAAGAACATCATAGAACACTAGTGGCGAACTTATGGCACAAGTGCCAGAGGTGGCACTCGAAGCCCTCTCTGTGGGCGTCTCAGACCCACTTCCCCCGTGGCCCCCTCATGAGCAGCTCCCCTGGTGGAGAGTCGCCCCCGAGCACAGCCGGCACGAAGCAGTGCAGCCAAGGACATGGCAGCTGGGCAGCCAGAACAAGACTCCGTCTTTGTGCCCCATTGCACGCAGATGATGCTGCGGGGTGCAGGCGGAGGGCATGGTCACCATGGTGCTGCTGGGTCACCTGGGCAATCTGCGGCGGGCCGTGGAGGCAGTGGGTGGCCCTGTAGGCGGTCGGGGTCAGGCTGGGGGTGGAGCGGGAGTGGAGCGGGGGAAGGCAGGGTCGGTGTTTGGGCACTCGGTCTCTAAAAGGTTCGCCATCACTGTCATAGAACAATCCAACCAAAGTTCAGTTCTTTATTTCAGGGGTTACTAACTCCTGGGTTGCAGCCCAATATCAGGCCGTGCCTGTTCAAAACCGGGCTGTGGGAGAAATGGGTAAATGCATGCACGTGAAGCTCCACCCAAGCTCCATTTGCTCGCACAAGTGGTGCTTCACTGGTGAGTGCAAGCACCCTCTGCTCGCACAAGTGGAACTTCACATATGAGGGCAAGTGCTGCAGCTCGCAAGAGTGGAGCTTCGTGTGTGAATGCAAACACCCTAAGCTCGTACACGAAGCTCCATTCACGCGAGTGAAGGGCACACCAAGCTGGAAAGGTTAGGGACGATGCTTTATTTGCTTACACTCCCCAATCGACAGAATCTTGCCAGATAAAAACTTTATTACTCTAAAAGATGGAAAACTGAGTCAACCTTGAGCCAGTCAGGATCAAACTCCTGGTTGCAGCAGAATTAGCCTGTAGTGTGCCACTACGACTCCTAAGACAGCAGTTTACAAACTTTCCCAACCTTTCCAGCTCTGCAGATTGGTAGCAGCAGTGGTGGGGCAGAGGGGATGGTTTCGCACATGTGCATGCCGCTCACACAAATGGAGCTTCCCACGTTCACATGTTGCTTGCATGGCCCAGTTGCCAACCGACTGCAGACTAGTAGCAGTCTGCAGAATCTTTCCATTTCCTCCTTCTTCTTTGGGCTCATGGAGTATAGCCTGGGCTTCGGGAGTTTTGCCCCAGGCTTGAATTCAATGGCACAGTCCATGGGTCAGTGGAGGCGGGAGCTCATCCGCCCTCTCCTCACTGAAAACTTCAGCAAGATCTCTGTATTCCTCTGGTATTTCTGGTAGTCCCTTTTCCTCTTCCATGGATGCTTTTTCCGTTCTCAATTTTGATAGCTCCCCTTGGAATTTTAAGTCCATAGGGTCCCCTTTCAGGAAAGTGATTTCTGCTGTCCTCCAATTCACCCAGGGGTTCGATTTCTTTAACCATTCCATCCCTAGGATCATTGGGCATTCCATGCCTGGGGTCACTACAAAAGTTATGTCTTCCTCATGTTTGCCCAGGGAGAGGTGTATTGGTAAAGTGGCTATGGTAGCTGGCAACCCCCCTGCTATGGACCCATCTAACTGGCCAAATGAGATTGGTTGTTCCAGTCTCCTTGATGGAATCCCACTAGCATCGGGCTAATGAGGCAGTGGGTGCAGCCAGAGTCTATTAAGGCTTCCACCAGCTTCGGGCTTGGGGGAATTAATATAGTCACTGTCTTGAGGATGGGTGGGATGGGTCCACTTACCAGGGGTTCGCCCTCTGAGTTCGTCGTCTGAGGCGTCCACTGGCCCTGTGGTGTAGGCTGGAGTTCTTCCCCACGATGGACAGAGGTAGGGGGTTCCACAGCCTCCATCACTCTCATGGCAGATTCTTTTGGCTTAGCTGGAGACTTCCCGGATTTGCTGGCTGGTGATCTGCCGGGGTTGTGCTGGGGGGCTTTTGAGCGGCATTCTACAGCCCGATGCCCCTCTCTCCCGCACTTGAAACACCCCATTTGCTTCTTGGCCATAGCCGATGGTTTCACTGGTTCACGTGTCAACTCAGGCGGTGAGCGGCTCCATTGTTTTCCTCGGCGGTGCCTCTTCAGTAGGTCGATCTTTGCTTCCTCTGCCAGGACGTACCATTCATCAAGTTGGTGTGGGTCCCCTCGGGGCAGGCAAGCGTCATATAGGTCATAGTTTAACCCGTCTTTGAAGTGGCTAAGGAGGATGTCTTCTGGCCAATTCAGTTTGCTGGCAATTCTTGCATATATTCGGCAACCGGGCATTTGCCTTGCCTCATTGTTTTTATCCTTTCGCGGGCTTTGCGATTAGTCAGGGGGTCCTCAAATCGCCTTCTCAGAGAGGACATGAAACGGTTGAAGTTGTTGAGCTCTGGGGCGTTGGAGTCGTGCAAGTCCACCACCCAATCTGTGGTCGGCCCGTCCAGAGCAGATTGCATGATCCAGATAGGGGCTTTGTTGCTGGGGATGTGCTGCCCTATTCCTCCATGTAGCTGAGGACTTGGGTTAGGAAAAACTCCAAGCTCCCCCTTGAATCTCACGTCCAGCGGCAGGAGTCTTTGAATGGACCAGTGCCTTTGTTGTCGGTGGTAGTGTCTTCCATCCAGATTGTCATCTGCGGGTTGACGGGGAGTGCGGACTACTAGACCAGCAGACGTCCCCGGGGCTGCAGGTTCCACTTCCCCCTCAGTGTCTCTCCCTTTGCAGCTCCAGGAGCTGGGTCGGCCGTAGGGCTCAGAATTCTCCTCTCCTAGGAAGCTGAGAGTTCTCTTTATCAAGTCGATAGCTTTCTCTAGGATCCAGCCTGAGTATGGTGCCCAGTTCCCTACCTCTTCACTTGCGTGCAGGGATTTCTCCATCTCCTACGTCCATTCTGGTTGGTTGGTCCCCCCGTCTCAGGGTCACCTTTTTTGATTTCTTTTCCCACTCGCCTTTCTTTCTGACGCCCATTGACCACCGAGGTTTGTGGTCCCGTGTCTCCACCACCTCTTCTCCTGAGGAATCTGACCTCTCAGATCCTGACATCTGGCAGGGTTTCAGTCGGGGCAGCGGCTCCCTTTCTGGGGAGTTTTCTCCCTTCTCTGCTCCATCGTCTGACATGGTAATTTTTGCAAAGTCCCCCAGCAAGGTTCTCCCTTCCAGGTGGACTAATTTTGCAGATCCTGTCTAATGTAAGGACCCATCCCAATCTACATGTTAAGAAGACAGAACTCTTGGAATATCTCTTCCAACAGGCATCTTTATTAAGAGAAGATGGTTGCAGGCGTTCTAGACAGGATCTGGGGCCCAACCCCTACCATTCAAGGTTTTAAGTGTTCCCAAGCAGTCCCCACCCCACCGTCCTTCCAGCGACAATCCTAGACATCACATTTCCGCTCCCTTTTCCTCTCGACCGACAGAAGGGAGACTTCAGAGAGTAGTAGATGAAAGCTGATGGGCCATATTGTTATGGTCAGTCCTCTGGGTGAGAGCCACATTCAGTCCCTTTGAAGTTTTAATGAAGGAAGTGAGAGCCATAAAACCCCTTTGCTCATCCCCCTTCCCCTTCTTAGTATGACAGAATCCAGAGAGGGCAGAAATGGGGTTTTCCATAGTCGATAACTAGAAATGAAATATAATTGGATTCTGGCAGTCCTAAGACCATAGAAACTAGGCAAGCAGCAATAATATTAATGATATATTTAATAAACTTGAATAAAAATAAAGATCAATTTGTAATTTTATTAGAGGATGAAAAACCTTTGACAAAATACATAAAAAGTACTAGTACTAAATATATTTGGATTTTCTTTGGAATTCATCAAATGGATGGATATATAAGTACCCTACATCTAAAGCATTGTGGGTCACATCAGCATTGTGGTTGCCCTTGGGGGGCCGGGTGGGTGTGGCCTACTGGGTGGGCGTGGATGGAGTGATTGTGGCCTAGTGGGTGGGCATGGCCAGCTCTACATTGTTTGTGTCAAGGGTGCCTGTGGGGGCCTGGGCAGGAGTGGGACAGATCTGAGGGTCTCTGGCAGAAGGGGGTGGGACCGGGGCAAGCACCAAGGCATGGTCCATTTCTTCATTCCTCACAAAGGGTGACACCTCCCCAGCATGCAACCAGGGGGAGGGGGCGACGTGGCAGGGGCTGGTTCCTCGCTGTTTCCAAACGGCCTTGTGGAGCTAAGACTGAATGTGTTTCAGCATAGATGGCCACCACAAAATTGTACATTGGCTCCCCGCCGGCCTGGGCCAGGGCCAAGGCAGTGGGGGCTGTTCCCTCACTGTTTCCAGGATGGCTTCGCGGGCCACATGAAATCACTTTGCGGGCCGCATCCAGCCCCCGGGCCTTGTGTTTGACATGTCTGATCTAAAGTTAATGGTTAAGTAAGGTTCTTTTACTCTTTCACTATGTAGAGGAAGTAGAGAAGGATTCCATTTTCATTTTCATTCATGCTTTTTAATATCTGCGTAGAATCCTTGGGTTGTGTTATTAGACAACACAGGGAGATCTATGGAGTAGTATATAACTCAATCTAACACAAATTGGTTCTATTTGCAGATACATTTTTATTTCTAAAACTATTCCAGTGTTGATGCAAAAGATACTGTAGATGCCTTTAATAAAATAAGAGATACTCTATTAATTGATCCAAATTGGAATTTATGCCTATAACTGAACACCCATTTAAGGAATATCAATTCTATTTTTGTATGGAATACATTCTATATCTAGGTATGCATATACCAACAGATATAACTTATTTAACAGCATGTAATTACACTAAACCTCTAGTATCTCTGGAAACAATTATATCAGAAATGTATGGCACATAATGTCTAAAAAAAAGATCTGACCCTTTTTCTTATGTTAAATTAACTTTATGGGGAAACTAAATTTTAAAAATTGGGAAAAATATGATATGGAAACATTGGATGGAAGTGGAGATATTGACTTTGGGTCTATGATAAATATAAATGATAAATTCAAATGATGAATTTCTAACATGTTAAGAGACAATTATCATCTACCAGATGTAACCCAATGGCAAAATATAGTTATGTTAATAACATTGTTTGGGCCAGCATTATTCTTAGATTCTGAGACACCTGAGATACTAGAACTTCTTAAATCTTTTGATACTAAAAAAACGATTCATTTCTATAGATACTTATTATCAATAAATAAATATATGGAAATGCTAAGAAATGAATGGAATAAAGAATTAGAGATTTCTATATCGCCATCTGAGACGCTGAGTCATGTGATCTCAAGGTCTACTTCGGACAAAATTCCTAGGAATCCGTCCTTATCTTGCAAAGCTAAGCTTTTCTCGTCCTAACTCTATTTGTGGAAGAAAGGCAGGATATATCTTTAACTACAGAATATTTTTCTTATACGATTTTTAAAGAATGAGTTCTAAGGGAACAAAGTGTAACAACTCCTGCGACCTTCCGAAGAAGCGAGAGGGCAGGCAAGGATCCCATCATGACCATTTCGGGAAGATGCACAAACCGACTACAGTCGCAACCGTCAGTTCCCACTGAAATTCGTTGGATTTAAGGCTCGCCTCAAGGATTCAATATAGCGTTCAAGCGTGCTTTCCGCGTCTTATCATACACATCGGCGCCACCACTCAGTCAAATGAGCGACAGGCAATCGGCGCTGAATTCCCAGATTGACGTCACTTTGAGACGCGACGCCAGGAGACCAGGCAGCAGCCACCTTTTCGAGCTTGTGGCGGAGAACTGCCTTTCCTACACTAAAACAGGCGCCGCCTCAGGCTTAACTTTCGCCCATAAACCGAAAATTTGTAGCATTTTTACCCTTCTTTCTTCCTTGCCCCCTCTGGTTCCTTCCCCAAGGGCAGAGAACTCACCTGAAGAATTACTCCCACCCGCTCCTGCTTATTCACCGCCGCCTGGTATCAAAATGGCCAGAAATAGAAATCGAAGGGCGGCGCACGCGCAAAGTGCTAGTCTTTTTTTTTTTTATCTCCGATCCGCTGAACAAAGCATTCACGAAGGGAGATGAGGGCAATGGAAAAAGGGTACTGGGGCGCTTCCTCTTATTAACAGAAATCTCTCCCGAGAAAAGTGTCCCAGGAAGAAGGAAGGTTGCCATTTGGTGTCGTCCTGAATTTTTCAGCTACAATCTGGTAGATCCGGGCAAAAGATGTAAGGTTAATGACTGGGAACACAAAGTTCAGAGTAAGAAGCATCTTTCGGTTAGCTAATTCTGGCACAGAAATTCTTGTAAAGAGGTGCAGCTGAACTAGTAATCCAGCAAAGCAACTAATCCTCTTGTTCAGCCTAACGGGTAGAGCACAAAAAAAGAAAACCCTCCTATCAGGCAAAAACTCTAATCCAATGTCAGAAAAGATTTTTTTCAGAAGCAAGAGTGGAAAGGAAAAAGTGGCTGCCGCTGAATATAGGGATCTCAGTCAATCGCCCTTTAAAGATAGAATTATCCCGTTTGAAGTGCAAAGTCTGCTGTTATCCACTAACAGCATTTTTGCAAACCAGAAGACTGGTTTTGTACCTGGTAACTTCAGCAGACTTGTATGCACCAAAATGTGAAATACCCACAATGGAGGAGTGGATTTTGAAGATGGCAGAATTTTCAGAAATGGCAAAATTGACTTATTTGCTCAGGGATAAAACAATATGTACTTTTATAAAAGACTGAAAACTTTTATGGACTTTCTGTTGAACATGAAAAAAAGGAAAATGATGATTTTTGGATTCACAGATTAAAAGAGGTTGAATATATCTAAAAGAAGGCCGTTCTCTTTCTTTAGAACATTCTTCCTGCAAAAATAAAGGCAGCCCCTTCTTGCTATTAGAAGGCTCTGAAAACATAATTCTCTTAATGGGCCAGGGTATTCCAGGTTGATTTGGAGCTGGTCAAGTGGCTTGTGTTTGTTACTACTGTGTTCTCCCGAAAATAAGACCCGTTCTTATATTTGGGAGGGGGGCTCCAAAAGAGGCATTTTGAGGGGATGTCTTATTTTGTTCACACACAGGAGGTGGTGAGCACGGGGGCCAATGGGAGTGGGAGCGGCCTCTGCCCACCCTGCCTGATGGCCTTGCTGCGGCTGGGACACTTCTCGGCCATGACAGGCATGGTGCTGGCCGCCGAGTGGTTGTCTGTGCTGCTACTGGCCTTGCAGGGGGTCTTTGCCCTCCTGGCCGCTCTGCTCTCAGCTGCCCTGCCTATGTGTGGGAGGGGGTGCACGGCACAACTCGGTGTAGTCACAGGATTGGCAATGTGGGTAAAGTAACTCCGAGCTCGGCTGGATTCCCTCTCATTCCATCTCTCGTGCCTGGAAGTGTTTTTGGTAGCTCTGCCATACCTGTGACACCAGGCAACTTTGTGGCCAAAGGCCCCTCTCTTCTGCAGCTCACTTTGTGACTCTGGAGTAGGCAGCGACCATGGTTTGCACTCCGTGTAGTAGAGGCTGCTGGATAAACTAAAGAAAATTAAACTGTCAGTGAAAATCCAGCAGCGGGCGGGGGGTACCCCGGTCTCATGTATGGGGAATCTGCACCACCTGCCTCCCCCTGTGCCTCTGCCTGTGGGCTCGGCCTGCTAAACCTCACTTCTACCCAGCTGATTGAGCAAAGTGAAGGCATGGGGAGGTGGCAGGCAGTGCAGATTCCCCGTATCTGAGACCGGGGTCCCCCCCCCCCGCTGCTGGATTTTTTTCTGCCAGAATGTTTAACTTTTAAGTTTATTTGATGCAGAATGCGGATCCTCCTCGTTCAGCAAGACTGAAAAAAAGCTTTGGAGGAACCTTCCCACAATTCTGCAGCTACTGCTGCTCCCAATTTTCCAAAGGGTCGTCTCTAGGGGATCTCCCTCCCTCCCTCCTGCGATGGCCCCCCTCCCTGAAGTTGTGCTTGCAAACAGATGCCCTGTTTCAGTTCCTGAGCAGCAGCAGCGCCCGGCGCTCCTGCCACCTCCGCCATGAGTTTTCATGCCAGGGTCTTGGGTCATGATTACAGCCCCTGCTATTTCTGCCATAAGAAGAACCACCACCCAGCTCTTCTCTCTTCCTGAAAGCATTTCTTCACTAACTTGCTTTCCAGCTCCATCGCATTTCTCCATCTCCATCACGTTTCTCTGCCACCGTGTGCAGGGAAATAAAAGGCTGACCCAGTCTTTGTGAGTGCTACTCAACAGCCTACTCATGAGAAAAAAAACCTTTTATTTTAACAAGGCATTTATGGAATAACTCCAGATAACAAGTCCTTAGATGTTGAAACAAACAGTAGCAGTCTCTGTTCCCACTTGGCGGAGATAAATCCAAAGTCTCTGAGTTCCCAGCAGGAAGGCTCAATTAGCCATTCAACCCAAACACAAAGAAATCCGACAAACCTAGCAAAGAATTGGCAAAGAATCCTGGCAAAAGAAATCCGACAGAGGAACAAGATATCGTAGCATGAATAGTTGCCTATGGCAACTGGCGCCTCCCACACCTCTCTTCTTTATAGTCCAGCCAGGGCATGGCTTCTTAGAGTCTCTTACTTTTCCTGGAGAGCCACCCCACTGCCCTCTGTTGTACTGCTTGCCTCTCCTCTGTGCATACATGCATCTGGGACAGGCCCCAGCTGTTCCTCCTCTGCTCAGTTCAGACCCCCAACTCAGCTGTTTCTCTGCCTGAGCATGAGTAGGTGGGCCTGGCTCCAGCTCTGGCTCTGAATCTTCTTGCTCCTCAGAGCCTTCCATAGACTCCAGTGGATTCATCTGACTTGGCTGATGGATCCACTGGCAGTCAAGGAACAACAGTTTGTGGGACTACCAGTAAAAAAACAAAAATTCAATCAGACCTTACAACCTCTCGCAAAAAAAAAAAAAAAAAAAAAACAACCCTTGCGAAGTTAGAAGGTCTGATTGAACTATTTTTTTTTTTACCAGTAGCCCTACAAACCTCTTTTGTTTCCCTACAGTGGTGGAGAAACATGACAGAGCTGGAAAGCAGGTTAGTGAAGAAATGCTTTTGGGAAGAGAGAGGAGATGGACGATGGTGCGCCAAGCTCTCCAGCTCCACAGAGACATTTTGCATGGAGCCCTTGAGGTTTTTTTATGGAGGGTGGATCTGCTTCCCACAGGGCCTGGCCAGGCTGGACTCACACATACCGGTACACTCTGTTTCTTACAAAAATCATAGCAGTAGCTACTGTAGCCTTAGCTGATCAGGAGGAAAATGTGTCTGCTGGATTTTAAGGCAGAAAAGCAAAGAGGGAGGGGGCAATTTCAAAGGTCTGGTGTCAACTCTACACATGAGCATGGCTGCAGCCATTTTACTTCTCATTGTAGGTTTGCCACATAGAATGGAGGGAGGGGGGTTACCCACATGCTTTGCTAGTCAAAATAATCTTTTGTCCCATGCGAATCAAGGTCATCAGCGGCTCCCGAGACTGGGACTGGGCGTTTCATAAAAAGCCCACTAAATAATCATATTGGGGAACATAGTTACATAGTTACATAGTTTTTGTGGATGGGACTTTTAACTTTGTATTGGGGAATTGTTACGTGTGTATCCAGACTTGGTTTCACTCTTGATTGTGCTGATACTTTGTAACTAATAAACATAATCTTTGAGGAATTTACAAGCCTTGGAATTCTGTTTTATTCATCTCTGTCTGTTGGAACCATGACATTAAACCAAGTCTGGATACACATGTAACAATTCCCCAATACAAACGTAAAAGTCCCACCCACAAAAGCTATGTAAGCAACTACATTCCCCAGTATGATTATTTGGCAGGCTTTTTATGAAATGCCCAGTCCCTAGTCTCGGGAGCTGCCAATGAACTTGGTTCCAACAGGACAAAAGATTATTTTGACTAGCGAAGCACCTGGGCAACCCCCCTCCCACCATTCTATGTGGCAACCTAGAATGAGAAGGAAAATGGCTGCAGCCATACTCATTTGTAGAGTTGACAGTAAACCACGTCTCATAAAACTTTATTTTCTTGGGGTGCTGTGCTGTGACCACCTACCCACTCACTTTTGGGAGAGTGGTAAAGACTCAGCAAAGATTCAACATGGAGGAGAAGAGTGAAACCACTGCTAGCTGCAATGAAACTCTGGCTGTCGGAGCATAGACTGATGCTCCAGCCATCAAGGAGGCGTCAATGGCAGGGGCTCGGCCAAAGGCCAGGTTAATACAACTGCAAGAAGGAGCTATAATCCTGGCAGACCTCTATCAAGCCGAGGCTGTCCCTCAGTGCAGGAGGGGCAGTAACCACTGGAGAGAAGCTACTATTGCTACCATCTCAGGATTCTTCATCTGTGGATAGCAAGAAAGGAAAAGGATCGATGGATGGGACAACTCCAGAGAGTGGAGGTTTCGGTCCGCAGTCCACAGCCCCTCACCTGAACAGTTGAAGGAGAAGTTCAGCAGACTAGAGGTGAAGAATACGATTCCTGTGCACAGGAGGTGGGTGCCATGGGGAGGGAATACCAAGAACTACCCATCTCTTCCCCTCACCACAGCCCCAGCCCAACCACCGGAGCCCATGCCACTTCACCCATCCCCCAGCAAGTTGTGATGTCAAGCCCTGTATCCCAGCCAAGCCCACTGCCATGGCCTTGGGATGCCAGTCCCAGAGCCCAGCCGAGAGAAGTCTGGAGAGTGGTTTAGTCATGTCCCCAGGACCCACAAGCTGCTCAAGCCCAGTAGCAGGTGCAGGCAGTTCCACCGAGGTTCAAGCCGCCTCTCATCAAGTCCACCTTTGATGGGGACCCCGAGAAGCTAACCTTCCTAAACCAGGTGTGGGCTCATTTAGATCCCTACACTTATGCCTACCTGGATGGTCCTATGATGGTGAATGCTGTGATGGCAAATTTAGAGGGGGAAGCGGCCTACTTGGTGACCAACCTTCACAATGAAGGGGCTCCTGAATTGCATAATATTGCACACTATTCATGGAG